TAGCAAGTAGGATGCATTAGGATGGTCTTTTCATTTCGGGTACACATGTCCTAGACAGACCCAACTCCTGTGTTGAGTCTCCAAAGTCAAATGCACATGATGCAGATAAGCGTTCCTACTAGGGATCCGGCATGAGGCTGAGTTATTCTAGGTTTAAAACCTGGGTTTATTGTTCTAGACCTGGCTTACCCGAGTAGACAACTCGAGCCGAGGGGGGGCTGCGTACCGGTAACCAAAAGATCATCCGGCTTTGCAACTTGTCCGAACCTCATTCTATTTTGGATATGACACTAACAGAAAGAAGTCACGACCAGCGTGCACTCCTCGGGAGAGAGAAGAGAGGAGTTTCGTAGCAGTTTATATACAGTTCAGATAATATCAAAGCGGTAAAAGCAACATTTAGCACATTAGGCCCAAACATGTAATAAAATAAGATAATAAATAAAGTCAAATATAACAATTCATCTAAGCTTGAATTTTGAACCCTGAACCAGAGATTCTGGGTTCGATCCCCAGCAGAGTCACCAGGTCACACCTCCTTTTTATCTACACCTCCTGGAAGGGAGTATAAGGGAGTTTTTTCAATTAAAGGACAATCGAAACGGGATTTATTATTAAAAGATTCAAAGTCGCCACTTGGGATAATTTATGGTGTCCCAAGTCACCGGTTCAAATCAATAATCGAGGAAGAATTGACTCTGTATTATAGTCCGCAAACACAGAAATCCGGGTAAGAAATTCTGTTAACCCGTGAGAAGGTGTTAGGCATTCCCGAGTTTCGTGGTTCTAGCACGGTCGCTCAACTATTATAATTGGCCTATTATCTGATTTTAATACTTGTTTTAGCCTATGGTGCAATTTTAACGTTGTAACCTCTTTTATTTAAAGGAAAATTGCAACGTCATTTAAACTATGTCTCGAACTACGTCACATAAATGCACCCGCGGCTCTCAACACATATTTTATCTAACATTGTTAAGATTTGGATTTGGGTCACATAAATGCGCACCCGAGTTTAGGAAGGTAAGTTATTAAAATAACGCGCCTAAAGCAACTACGCGTTTGCAACTTTGCGAGGGCCATGAAAATTTGCTAAATGGCACGCCTTGATTATTAAGGGGCTTGGTTAACTGAATAAAAGACATAAGAAATTCTCGACTCAATTTCAAGAGACCAGATTTAACGACTTGTAGCCACGGAACACTGGGCCAGTTATTAGAGCAAATTGGGCCCATTAACGGCTATCAGCGAGACAGTATTCATGAGACAAGGCCTGCCGTGTCTTTTCCCAAATGTTTTTGAAGTTCTGGGACCGGTTCGAGCCCAAATTTAATAAGAGAAAGGGCATTAACACATACTGTCCAGCGGTCAAATCCCTGTGAGCCCAAACCAATTTAACTATAGACAATAGGCTCCAAATTACTATGCCAATTCAGAGTGCTAATCAACTGATACAATAGGGAACATGAAATTGATTTTTGCAAATTTAAACTTTTAATTTTTAAAAGATCAGACACCTACTACCTACCTAGATTTTCTAATTTTAACTATACCAACACGACATGACTAGATAACATTATGAATAAAATAACTCAACATTAAACAATCAGACAAGCATGCTTGATTCAGCTTTTAACTAGTTTTAATGGGCAATTTCAAGATGTTTAAACTTTGAGATTAACAATTGCAAATCTCCAAAACTAACTCGACAGATCACTAAGAAGATGGATTTTAACCCCAAAAATATCTCACCAGTAGGTCAACATGAACTTAAAACCATTACTCAACATTTAAACAGATGCAAAAATGGAAATTGATGTTAGAACAAAACTAGTCATCGGCAGAAATCACAAAACAAAATCCACACCATGTGAATTAAATCTTTCTTTGCCATATTTTAATAGCCATTCCTAGACTATATGATTCGAACTCATTCATATCAAGGGGCTAAAATTCATAGTTCACCCAACATTATAAAGAACACTTACAACTAAATAAGGAGGATCAAATATAATTAAAAAACTAAGTTAATTACAAAATATGATTCTATTCTCAACATTGTAAAACTCCTTCATTCAAATAACTTGCCATTCATTCATATAATCTCTTGTTCTCCCATTTCACATATCAAGGAGAAGGGAAATACCTAGTAAGCAAAATAAAACAGAAAATGAAGGATCAGCAGTGATCAGTAACAGCTAGCCCAGATTCAACCAGTAAACACAGTGAGATCAGCTCAAAAATTCAATGAAATAGTAAACCCATAACAAAGCTTGATCCAGAATTTTTCAAAACACAACTTCAGTCCATTTCAAACCCCAAGATGAGAAACTATGATTTTCAGAAGTTTTGTTCACCAAATGAAATCAGACGACTCCAAAAATGAGCAAACTTTTAGCAATTTTTCTAAACAAATATTGTGAGGAATTCAGAATTTTCCAAAAAAAGAACTCAGCCTCTTCAATTTTTTTGATCTTTTTTTCTCTTAATCCCTCCTTGAATGACAAGTTAGAGAGACTTTATGTGCAAGGAATTTAGAGCTGCCTTAAGGGATCAGATTTTCATTTTTGACCCTTCTGAAATTTTCATTTTAGCTTAAAGATCCTTAGTGTAAAACTCAGAAATTCAGAAATGCCCCCACCCCAGCTTCCTAGAAGCTTCCAGTTCGGTTATACAAAGATTCCCTACCTAGAGTTCCTAAACTACCCCCTTGAACTCTTGAAATTACCCTCAGAAAATTACATGGGTTAAGTTGGCCCAATGGCCTAATTTGATATGGGTTTGTAACCCAAGTTTAGTTCCCTCTTGGGCTTCTGATTTTCAGAGTCCAATTGAAATCAAACAAGGATTCCCAATTTAAGAACTAATTAACCTAAACAACAGTAGGAAATTAACTAGTTTATAGGCTTAATTAACTAGGTGACTAATTAGAACAAAAATTATGCGATTTAATCAACAGAAAATAAACAAATTAAATAGGACAGTCTTGAAAAATGAACAAAAAGAAAAACCAACGAAGATCAAACGGATAGGTCCCAAACTCGGCCAAATATTTGGTGAAATTTTAAATAAGGAAAAGAAAAAGAAAGAAGAGGGCAATAAATGAAAAATGGAACTAGAAACAGACCCAAAAAGAAATGGAACTCACCGGCTAAGCTCGACCTCGAGACCTGACACTCCAACTTCATCCCCAAATAATGTTAGTCACTTGTTCTTTGCTAAAAACAAGTGAACAATACTATTTCGTGACAAAACCGGCTTTAAAACTCATGAGGGTTGGAACAATCACCATGCACACCCAAGTTTAGATTTGGCTCTTAGAACCCAGATTTGGGATTTAAGATTCGAAGAGTTTAAAGAGGATTTGAGGGAGATAAATGGTGGATTTAGTATGAGGGGGTCTTGATGGTTCTGTGATGTTAATTTGGGAGGGATTGGAGGTGGCGTCACCACCCTAAGGCGGTGGGGGAATGGTGGCGGTGGATTAGGGTTCTAGTCTCTGAAGAGAGGGGATGAGAGAGACGATTGGGAGGGGGGTTAGAGGTTCGTACATATAAATACTATCGACCCCCCACTTCACGACCGCTGGATCAAGGAAAGTTAACGGTTGAGATCTACTCAACACAAAACGGGGTCGTTTGGATTGTAAGGGGGTGGACCGGGTAACTAGGAGCGGGTCTGGGCCCCAATTCGCGGGTATTTGGATGGGTTGAGGGTGTTTGGTTTGGCTTGGAAATTGAGAATTTAAACAAGGCCCAACAAATCTGATACAAGACCCTTTTTGTTTTCTTTTCTTTTCAATTTTTCTAATTTCTTTTGATTTAAAACTAAAAATAAACCTAAATTAATTCCTAATCCCATTATGCTATCACATTAAATTAATTAACTCTAATTAATAATTAACATAATTAATTAAAAACCAAATAAAGGAAAAACTACCAAAGTTTAACAATGAAAATTAAAAGTGCAAAAATAACTATATTTTTTTGTGATTTTCCCAATTCTTATAAAATAACTAATTTACTACTTAATTCAAAAAAAGAAAAATTAAATCCTAAAATTCAAATGCAACATTTTTTTTATTTTCACTAGTTAAACAAAATTAACATGCTCAGACAAATGCAAACAATTAATGAAAAATGCTACGAAAATCTACAAAATTGTAAATAATGGAAAAAATTATTTTGTTTTGAATTTGTGGGAGTAATTCATATAGGGCAAAAATCACNTAATCGGCTTTGAGTTTGATGATACCCATTTATGTAAGCTTATAAGTGTTCATGTGAAAACCCGGCCGGTAAAATAGACTAGGAGAAAGCTCGATGTATACGGTCAAAATCATATGCCTCCGATTTTGTAGGCTCGAGAAGTCGCATCGAGAACAAAAGTTCGATATAGACCAAGCTCGGGCTCGAAGGTAAAATAAGAGGCTCAAAGACCTAAGTGCTCGAGGAACATCGGAGCTAGGTACGACCGATTCCGAAACAGTGTCGTTATGAGTTTGTTACAAAAGGACAAGATTCTTGCCACGTCCCCAAGATATGGCGTAAATTCCGGAATAGATTTGTACGAATTAGTACAAATTCGTACTAGGCGGTTATACAGCTGTCCCCAATACGATTCCTTACTATAAATAGAAATGTACCCTATTTTAGGGTTTCCCTATATATATAAAGGGGACCCCAATCATTTGTAAAGGGCATGTAATCATTGGCAAAGAATATACTATCATACTTTTCGCTCATTGTTCATCAGAATTGTCCTTTAATTTTACTATTCTTGCTTTATTGTTCTAGCTCGTCTCGAGGCCAAGACTGACATATCTTCTCGTTTGATCTTACTTATTTTCTTCATCTATACTTTATTTTTCTTGATTATTAATTGGTATTGAACTAAAACACGTATCTTTAAAATCACAAATCAAATTTAATTTTTTTTTTTGGGAAACTAGAATAATTTTATTGATAAAGACTACGTAACATCCATTACAAGATCTAGTGGATCATTACAAAAGGATGAAAGGCCATATAAGGCATTTAGGTTACCAAGTTTGGCAAGTTTCTTACAGTTACTTTCACAAACAGATTTATTTTTTGGAGAAAAACCCTCCTTGTCCTCCAGCCTCCTGGACTCAACAAAGGTAGAGGTTACAACATAACAGACTAAACTATAGTGCATTGGTTGTTTGGCTCCTTCCTGGGCTAGCAGGTGAGCAACTTCATTTCCTTCTCTAAAGTTATGCCGGATCACCATCTCCTTGTCTTCTAGGAGATCAAGTACCTGCATGTTGTAGTAAAAAAATCATAAGGGGTGTTGCCCTCTTTTAAAAGATCAATTACTTGTGTTGAATCAGTTTCTATTTCACAAGGCCATATATTGTGTTGAGAGATAAACCCTAGGCCATTAGTCAGGGCCAGAATTTCAGCATGTGTACAATTTACATCTTGAACTCTTTGTTGGAATCCCATGATCCATTCTCCTGCGTTATTTCTTATGACTCCTCTTATTCCTGCGCGATTCTGGTGGAAAGCTCCATCTATATTTAGCTTAAACCAACCAGCATGGGGTTTGTGCTATTGAGTGTTGCAAATAATATTTTTTAGGGAGAGCTTTCTCTAGTAGTTAGTAATGCAAATTCAATCATTTGCTTGATAACAGAAGAGATTAAAACATGATTAGAAGTATTGTTTTCAAGGTTATTATTTCTATTTAGCCAGAGATTCCAAATTGCAAAAGGAAATAATTGGAACCAAGTGAGCAATGTAGATGAAATGGACGACTTAGAATTTTTTAATTTGTCTACCCATAGGTTATCCTTAGAAGTAGGCCAGTTAATACTAATGTTAAGGTTTTTTCAAAAAAAATTGCAATAATGCAGTGAATAAAAATGTGGGGGATGTCTTCTTCGTTTTGGCGACATACAGTACATATTTTGTCTACGTTAATTCCTATATGATGAAGGTAGGATCTAGAAGGTAGTCTATTGTGGTAATATTTCCATAGAAGAAATTTTAATTTGTTGGGACACTGAGTTTTCCAGATCCAACTAAAGTTTTTCGAAGGAGTTTCGTTGGTCTCAATGAGGTTGGAACAAGAAGATGTAGAGAATAAACCATTGTTATTTGGTTCCCAAGAAGGGGAAGATATATATTTTTGCGTGAGAACTTTGGCCCAAGGGGTGTAAGGATAGTTTAGAAATCTCCAAGCAAGGCTTGTTAGGAGAGCTATGTTTTTTGATTTAGCTTTCCTAAGGCCAAGGCCACCTTTGTTTTTTCCTAGAGTAATGGTATCCCATTTAAGAAGGTTCAGTTTCTTTTTAGAATCATTTGATCCCCAGATAAAATCTCTTTGAAGTTTTGTCAATGGTTTTAAGGATTTTTTCTGGGAGAAGGGTATATTGCATTATGTAATTGGGAATGCTAGCAAGGTTTGATGAAGTAAGGGTGGTATGACCTGCCATGTTAATACAATTAATTTTTCAATTTGCTAGACGGTTTCACATATTATCAATAATAAAATGAAAGTCTTTCGATTTTGGATCAGAATCCAGGATGGGGAATCCTAAGTATATTCCAAAAGAATTACTACTCTTTATACCAAAGAAACTAGAGGTAGCAACTTTAATGTCTTTGGTGCAGTTTTTGGAAAAAATAACTTTTAATTTGGCTATGTTGCTGTTTTGACCGGAGTACTTACAAAACATGTCAAGGCCAGACTTAATAAAAGTGCAAGATTTTTGATTGATGTGACTCATAAGGGTTAGGTCATCTGCGAAGAAAATGTGAGATAGAGGAAGGTCATTTGAGCAAATGGTAACTGGATCCCATCTTTTAATGTCTACTTGGAAATTAATATAACGTGATAACATTTCCATGTAGAGAATAAAAATATAAGGAGACATGAGGTCACCTTGTCTAATACCTCTACTAGGATAGAAAAAATCACTCCTTGCACCATTCACAATAACAGCCATACTGGACGTGGTAATACAGGACATGATTAATTTTGACAGGTTTGGAGGAATTTTGAAATATTTAAGGGTTCTACATATGAAAGATCATTCCAACTTGTCAAAAGCCTTTTCTAGGTCAATTTTTAGGATCATTCTATTCTTTTTACTAGAGCTTTTTTTGAAGTTATGGATGATTTCTTGAATAAAGATTGCATTATCACTAGCTCTTCTATTTTTTAGAAAACTGGATTGGAAGGGGCTGATGATTTGGTCTTGGAATGGTTTTAACCTATTAGCTATAATTTTAGTGATGATTTTATAGTTGGTGTTGCATAATCCTATAGGTCGGAAGTTCTTAAGATTATTAGCATTGTGTATCTTAGGGATAAGGCACAAATAAGTGGAATTAATATTGGCAGAAATTTGGTAGGAAGTGAAGATTTCATGACAAAAGGAAGTAACACTAGGCCCGACAAATTTCCAGTATTTTTGATAGAAGAATGAGTGAAAACCATATGGACCAATTGCTTTGTAAGGCTTAAAAGAAAAGATAGCCTTGATAATTTCACTGTTTGAAAGGGGCTTGTCTAGTGGTGAGAGGTCTAAGGAGTCAAAACTAACAAGGCCACTGAAAATATCCGATTTATTTGTAAAGCAGTGGAAAGTTGTAAAGGCATTCTCAAAAAAAATTTGAGCATGAGTAAGGATATCACTATGATTGTCAACCCAATTCCCTTGGTCATCTTTAAAGAAGCTGACATGATTTCTTCTTCTCCTATTAGAGACACTTATATGGAAAAAAAATTTGTTTGTGTCCCTATCATTGAGCCATGAAATTCGTTATCTAAGTTTCCAATAGTCTTCTTCTAGTTTTAGGATATTATTGAAGTCATTTCTCATAGAAGATTCTAGGCTTTGGAGAAAAGAACTATGAGTATAATTGTGGGAGTTTTGTATACCCTTAAGACGAGCCAGAATTCTCTTTTTTCTTTTAAAGACATCACCAAAAGTTTCCTTACTCCACTTGGAGATGTTGATAGTAAAATTGTGAGTGGCTTCTAAAAGGTTATGATTAAGCCAATTTTGACGAACTAAGTTGACAAAATTAGGATGAGTGCACCAAATATTCTCTATCCTAAAGGGTTTACAAAGAGTTACACGAGGAAAGGAGTTAAGGTTTAAGAGAAGAGGATTGTGGCCAAAGTAAGTTTTTGGAAGATGGGTTACTGTGGCATTAGGAAAAAGATTAGCCCAGTCTTCATTACCTAAAAAACGATCTAGTCTTTCCATAATTAAACCCTTAAACCTTTTCCTATGGTTGGACCACGTAAATTTGCTACCCTTATAACCTAAGTCCATAAGTCTATATTTGTTAAAGTTCCAAATCCTAGAGGTCCTAGAAATACTGACAATTCTTCCTCCAAATTTTTTGGATGACATGGTAATGTCATTAAAATCTCCACCCACTAACCATCCTCCCTTATAGCTATTGGAAATATTAATAAGATTTTCCTATATAGAGTCACTAGCATGAATATTAGTACTAGCATAGATAGTGCTTAATAACCAAGTAAAGCGAAAGGGAAGTACCTATATCATTGCATGAATTTCTTGACCCCTCCTTGTGAAATTATGAATTGTGACCATGGTATGGTCATAGAGAATGGTCATTCCTCCAGATTGGCCTTCAAAGGGAACTTCGATCATCTTAGAGAAATTGAAATCATTAAGAAGGGAACCATACGTTGCCATTCTAGTTTCAAGGAGAGCAACTAAGCAAGGCCTATGAGTGTCAACTAGGTCCCTAAAATTATGGTAAAAGTCGTCATTGTTAGCACCACGGACATTCCAGAAGATGATTCTAGTGGATCTCATCATTCTTGGTTGGCGGGTTGGGTTGAGTCATCTCTTCCTCCTCCAAGTTGGAGTTTGAGGTCCTCATTTGGCATGGATCTAAGATCATTGTATGGGTTCCCACAGTTGGGTCCCGTAGAGGCTTTATGTCCACTGAGCATTTGAACATTGAAGGAGGGCAGTTGAAGATGAATTTCTTGCTCAGAATCTCTTTGAATAGTAGTACTTTTACTTTGTTTAGGTTTGCAAATTCCACACTCGATTTCATAAGTAGAGGATCTATTTCTTCCTCCTATTTTAGGTGATTTTCTACTGGTTCTTGCACATTGGGAGGGGGATTGTTTCCCATATGCATTGGAATGTTGTTCTAGGCTTTTGCATGTGCATGCATGTCCCAGGGGATAAAAATGGGGTTGATTTGGGAAAGCTCCTCCAGTATGAAGAATGGAAGCTCTACTGGTGGATTTTGTGGGACTTGAGGGTTTGCTTAGGGAGGAAGATTTCATTGTTGTTGCATGGCTTGAATAAGATTTTGATTCATTGTTGGAGCCAAGGGATGTAGGACATTGTTGATCCATATTTGGTTCATGTAATTGTTCATGGCTAGCCTCATTCCTTCCGATATTAGTTGAGCAAGATAAGGGGTGTTCTGGATTATAAGGACCGTGTCCTGGCCATTGATGTCCATGTTGAACGTGATTGCATGGCCCATCAGTCCTGCTTCTAGCCAAGATAGGGGTTGGTAGTTTTGGGGAAATGGTGGAGAGGTGTAGTAAACTGTTGGATTTAGGAGATGAGGGGGAAGTGGGGGAAGGTTGTTCATTGTGTTGGGAGGTGTTGGTAACGAAGGATTGAAGAAGTCTGTTTCTCCTCCTTGATGAGATTGGTAATCTTGGCATTTTTATGAGTGGCAGAGTTTATATTAAGGATTTTTGGTCGAGTGGAATTGGTTCTAGACAATTCCCTAGGAAACTTTATAGCAGAATTTTCTACTTGTATTGGGTCAGATTGGGGAAGAGTAAGGGAGTTAACAAGATCCTTGGAGGATTTGGTTTGTGACACTTGGTCGTGAGAGGTGTCCATTTGGCATACCTCAGAGAGCTTGTTGGCTAGTGGAGTTAGAGGAGCTTTGGAATTAACGGGAAAGATAGTGTCAGTGCATGGGGTGTTTGCTGGAGAAAAATCCATACAATTAAGGCTAGAATTTATTTTATTAAGAGGTTGATGATTAAGCAAAGGATTTTTGTTAGTAGAATTTTTAGTTAATGATTGGGAGCTAATAGTAGAGGGTTGCATGTTGTTGTCCACGTGTGGCTTTAAATTTTACAAAGTGTCATGCAAAGTGGGCATGCATTGGGTGGAAGGGATACTATCAAATTTAGAAGAGGTTATACTCCAAAACCATGGGCTCTTCCATTAGACTAAAGAATTGGTTGTTAATCATATTAGAGTTAAGGAAAAACGGCTCATTAGTGGTTTGGATTTTCCTTTTATCTTTCCCATATTAAACACTAGTAGATTTTTTCACGTAATTAAGCTTTTGAGTGTTGAGATATTTATTTGTATCAGCATCATAAATTCTGACATTTATACCTGGGACATTTTGATTATGAGTGGAAGTTGTAGGAGATCGTGTAAGCTTCCTTTTTGTCTTGGCAAAGGAGACTGTTTTCCAGTCGTCCTCCATTGGCTCCTACTCCTGCTTTTGAATATTTTCAAAATTGGTGGGGATACATGGTGCCTTGGCATTTTGTTTTAAATGGAGTAATGACATTGAGGGGCAACATGGCCTAATCTACAACAATTTTTGCACAAGAACTTTTCTCCTTCATAACAAATGTCTTGCTTATGAGAGCCAATAAAAATAAAAGACTTAAAAGGAATATCCATGGGGATTTCCACGCACATCCTTGCATATCTTCCCCTAAGAGTAGCAGATGTGCATTCATCAACCTTTAACAGTTTTCCTATCGTGTTTCCAATCCTTTACAAGATTAAACTATCGTAAAATTCTGTAGAATGCTGGGGAAGACGGACCCATATTGCCGTAGAGAGAGGCTTTGCCTCAGAAGCAACAAAGTTAGCTTCCCATTTTTGAACTGATAAAAAATAGCCATTAATAAACCAAGGGCCTTTCTATAAAGCTTTCACCATATGCTCTCCCTTAGAGAATTTCGCAATATAGTAGTCTGCACCCAGGTCAATTAATGAAAAAAATTCGAAAAGTTTTCACAAGTCCTAGATTTTTTTCTTTAGGTAGTGGTGTAGAATTCATTTACCTAAGAGCTTGATGATGATTCAATATTTCCAAGGATCGTAGATTCGCCGGAGATCATCTGGTGATAGGCTAATACAGTAGCCTTCCTTTACAGGTTCCTCCAAATGTGTGTCCTGCATATATAATTGATGTTGTTAATTTCGCTTCTTGGCGTATAGGCAGTGAGGAAGACATCCCCCCCTATAGTGCTATTAGGTTAGANATCTGAGCCAATACATATCCGTGAGGAAGTGTTTGATAGAGGCAAAGGAGACTTAAACTTGACCAAATAATTTTGATTAGTTCTACTTGATGAAGTCTGATGCACGTGGAAGGTTCTAGATAGGCAGGAACATGCACACAGACAGCTGTACAGGAGCACATATATATTTAATTATACTAGTCTATATTTTGTTACAGTTAGGCCAAATAGGAGTTTGACACGTAGCACTAGCAATATACATTTTAGGCCAATAGGAGTTTGACACATAGCACTAGCAATATACATTTTTACTTCTTAGTTGAGTTGTATATATACATTTATACACACAATACATTGCATCAGCAGGACAATCAATGAAATCATTTCTTCTCATTCAAGTTTTTTAGAATCTTCTCTTCAATGGTTTCTTTTCAATTTTGTGATGGTATCAGATCAGTGATGGAGATCGAGATTACGTGAATCAATTCTCTTCTAATCCATTTCCGATTCCTATTGATTCTACGAGTCCATTGTTCTTCTCTTCAATAATCCTTGTTCGATTTTTTTTCAAATTCTTTTTTGTTCAATTTTCTCTGAGAATGGGCAGCACAACAAATACAATTTCTTCTCCATCAAACGTGACTTCTCCAGCTAGTGCTATGGATTATTCTAATCCATACTTTTTGAGTTCGACTGATCACCCTGGTTTGACCATTGTATCTCAAGTTTTTGATGGTTCCCGCTATGGAGCTTGGAGGAGAAGTGTGTTGATAGCTTTATCTGTGAGGAACAAATTAGGTTTCATAAACGGTTGTATCAAAACACCAGATGAGAAATCAGCTCAGTTTGAGAACTGGAATCGGTGCAATGATATTGTAATCCAATGGCTTCTTAGCTCCTTAAGCAAAGATATAGGTGATAGTGTTTTGTACTCCTCTACAGCAAAGGAACTTTGGGAAGAACAAGAGACAAGGTATGGACAGTCAAACGGAACTCAATTATTTCAATTGCAAAAAGAACTTAGTAGTATTATGCAAGGAACTGATGATATAGCCACGTACTTTACTAGAATCAAACGAATTTGGGACGAATTGAAGTTTCTTAACATTTTCGAAATTTGTGGATGTGAGTGTAAATGTGGAGCTAAGACAAGGAATTTGAAGGCGACGAAAAATCAGAAGCTAATTCTGTTGTTGATGGGATTAAATTAGGCTTATACATCTATAGAGGAAACATTCTTATGATGAAGTCTTTGCCCACTCCGAATGAGGCTTACTCTATTCTGTTGCATGAAGAAAAGCAACGTGAAGTTCATGCTTCTATACAGTTTTCAGGACAAACCTCTTCATTCAATGTAGTAGGTACAAAGTTTCAAAATGCAAAGTGGGAAAATAGAGGTAATGCCCAGAAAGGCAATTTTGAGAATCGTAAAGGTGGAATATTTTGCAATTATTGTAAGAAATCAGGACATTTGATTGAAAAGTGTTACAAGTTGCACGAATTTCCTCCCTCTTTCAAGTTCACTAAGCAGAAGAGGACTTATAGAAATGCACAAGGGAGTGCAAATGCAGCATTTGGAAATGAAGAAGGAGGTTCTTCTGAGACTAACCTGACTGTGAATCCCATGAGTATAGTGCAAGGCTTCTCAAAGGAGAAGTGTGATAAACTGATTCATTTACTTCAAAATCTTCATGCAGGTCAAGGAGTTTCTTCGGATTTTGAGGCTAATGTGACTGCTAACATGGCTGGTATGATAGCTGCTTTGTATGTTTTTTCCTCTCACCTCAGTAAACTTCCTAATAATCCCTGGATACTTGATACAAGGGTCACACAACACATGACTTATGATATTTCACTCCTTCATGAAACCAAAGAATTGTCAAAACCTGTATATGTTAATCTACCAAATGGATACAAAGTTAAAGCTATTGCCATTGGAAAATTGCTTATTCCTCCTAATCTGATTTAATAAATGTTCTATATGTACCAAGTTTTAAACACAGCTTGATCTCTGTACAACAGTTGTGCACTCAACTTGATTGTTTACTGATTTTTAGCAAATTTGGTTGTTACATACAGGCCCCTTCTCTGAAGAGGCTACACGTGTTTGGTGAGACCACTGATGGATTCTATGTGTTGGACAATGCAGCTCCCAGTTCTAGTTCTAGTCTTTCCAATGTCAGTGTCAATTCCACTACTTCTGTTGAACCTAGTGTCCCATGTAGTTCTTCACAATCTCTATTTTCAGATGTTTTCAATATAAGTCCTTTTGATGGACGTCTTTCTAGCGACGTTGTAACTGAAGCTAATTCAATGAATAAAATTGTTTGCTCTATGAATTGTAGCACTTTGAGTAAATTGTGGCATCAACGTTTGGGTCATTTACCATACCCTGCTATGAGTAACATTCCTGGAATACCTCACAAATTGAATTCTGAACAAAATGAAGTCTGTGTAATTTGCCCAAAAGCAAGACAAACAAAACTATCCTTTCCATCTAGCTATATAACTTCTAAACAAAAATTTGACCTCATTCATATAGACACTTGGGGTCCATATTCTACGCCTACTTATAATGGTCATCGTTACTTCTTGACAATTGTTGATGATTTTACAAGATGTACCTGGACATTATTGTTATCCACTAAGTCAAATGCTTTTCCTATCCTCAAAGCATTCTTTGCCATGGTAGAGCGACAATTCGATGTCAAAATCAAGAAAGTCCGATCTGATAATGCTTATGAGCTTGGGTCAGGGACTACACATTCTCAATTTTTCTCCTCTCTTGGTGTTCTCCATCAAACCTCTTGTGTAGCGACACCAAAACAAAATGGTGTGGTTGAACGCAAGCATAAACACCTACTTGAAATATGTCGGGCTTTATTATTTCAGTCCAATTTACCTATCAAATTTTGGGGTGACTGTCTGGTAACAACTACACTCCTTATCAACCGATTTCCTTCAAGAATTTTGGGTAATGTTTCTCCTTACTAGAAATTATTTGATAAACCACCAGATTACTTCTTCCTAAAATCGTTTGGTTGTTTGTGTTTTGCTTCTACGCTCTCTTATGGGAGAAATAAATTAGATCCTAGAGCCACACCTTATGTATTCCTTGGTTATCCTTTTGGAAAGAAAGGCCACAAAGTCATGAGTTTACAATCACAACAATTCTTTGTCTCCCGAAATATTAAGTTCCATGAACACATATTCCCTTTTTATTCTCCTCTTCCTATTTCATCTGTCATTTCTTCTGTTTCTACTCGTCTTGTTTCTCCTTTCCCACATCCAGTTCCTACCTCGTCTCCTTTGAATTCCTCCTCTATTTCTGTTTCACCTACTCCTATTTCCTCTGAATCTATTATATCATCCCCTCCTACATCTCCCACCTCTCCTACATCTCCCACATCTCCTACATCTACTGCATCATCCTTGTCTGTTCCTATACCTTCTCCACTTGCTATTTCTCCTTCTCATGTTGTCGCGAGTCCAACACTACGGAGGTCCATCAGAGTAAGGCACACACCTGGATACTTAAGTGAATATATGTGCAACACAGCTTCTCCATCTCCTTCCCCTATTGTTGCCTGTTTACATTCCTTTTCTTTTACTGCTTTATCCACCCAAAATCAGAATATCCTCAACACCTTACCCATGTCCAAGAACCTTCCACGTACCATCAGGCAACTCTCCATCCAGGTTGGCAGGATGCAATGGCCAAAGAATTCGAAGCTCTAGAGACTAATAGAACTTGGGATTTGGTTGAGCTCCCTCCTGGAAAGAAGATTTTACCCTGCAAATGGATTTACAAGTTTAAGACTAAGTCTGATGGTTCTGTTGAGCGTCTAAAAGCTCGATTGGTAATTCAGGGTGACATTCAGAGAGAGGGTATTGACTACACAGAGACATTCTCACCTGTAGTTAAGATTACTACTATCCGGTGCATCCTTAGTGTCGCTATTAAGCGTGATTGGCCTCTACTTCAGTTGGATGTCAATAACGCTTTTTTTTCACGGTGATTTAGATGAAGAGGTGTTCATGAGGCCACCTTCTGGAATGTCTCTTCCTTCTCCTCATCATGTTTGTCGACTCCGTAAATCCTTGTATGGCCTTAAGCAGTCTTCACGCCAATAGTACGCTCGCCTCTCTACTGCCCTTGTGTCTCGGGTTTTATTGTGTCGCTAAATGATTACTCTCTATTTTACAAGCACCAGGGATGTTTTTCTATGCTTATCACTGTTTATGTAGACAATTTTCTCCTCACAGGGAACAGTCCTATTGAGATACTTGACCTTAAGAAGTTTTTGGATTCTGAATTTCGTATCAAGGATCTGGGATTTGCTCATTATTTCCTTGGGATGGAATTACTTCGCGAGTCTGATGGCCTCATTGTCTCCCAGCGTAAATTTGCTATTAAGTTACTGTTGGATTTTAACTGCCTTCATTCCAGACCAGTCTCTGCTCCTCTGGACTCATCGCTCAAACTTACCTCTGCTTCTGGTGTTCCTCTTTCTGATACTTCAACATATCGGCATTTGGTGGGCAAGCTTAACTTTCTAACCCACTCTTGCCCAGATTTGTCTTTTGTTGTGCAATCTTTGAGTCAATTTATGCAATCTCCTACCCAAGATCATTTTCAGGCTGCACTTCACACACTTCGCTATGTTCGGGCAGATTCGGGTTTAGGCATTTTTCTGTCTAAAGATCCTTCTTTTCAGTTGGTTGCCTATTGCGATTCTGATTGGGCATCTTGTGTTGATACTCGACGTTCCGTTAGTGGGTTATTTATTAGCCTCGGTGGTTGCCCAATTTCTTGGAAATCCAAAAAGCAGGCAGTTGTCTCTTTGTCATCGGCAGAGGCTGAATACCGTTCTATGCGGTGCCTTGTTGCAGAGCTCAGTTGGTAGTTCATCTTCTTGGTGACATTTCTGTTGTTCCTTCTTTACCTGTTCCAGTGCACTGTGATAATAAGGCGGCTATCCATATTGCGAAGAATTCTGTTTTTCATGAGTGGACAAAGCATATCGAGCTTGATTGTCACTTCGTCCGTCAAAAGCTCTTGGATGGCCTGGTTTCATTGTCGTTCGTTCCCTCTTCCGGTCAGCTCGCTGATATCTTCACCAAAGCTCTTGCCGGCCCTCTTCACCGCTCTATTCTCTGCAAGTTGGGAGTTCGTGCCCCGCCCTCCAACTTG